TTTGTTTTTTATATGTCTTGTTTTCATTTTTTAAATTTAAATTTTCATCAATTATGTTTTACTGGGTATAAATCAGGTGATTTAGGAAGGGTTTTCATAATTTGGAGACAGTTATAGACACCGGCGGCGTATATTGTGAGCAAAGCGCTTGGCATCATTATTTTGTTAAAAAATAAAGTCGCCTCCAACATCCAAATTTTGGGCGGATAACTTCAAATTGTTCATTAAAATAGTTAAATAGAGATCATGAGATTCACAACACCATAAAAAATATCAAATAATATAATCCTGAAACGGAATTACACCGCCACACAAGAACACTTTAATCTCCATGCTGAAACATGAAGGAGGAGTTGTTCTTGTTCCAACTAAATGCTTGGGTTCAAATTCTTCATTCTTTCTTCTCCAAACAGTCATACGCCCATCTGAACCAAAAATTTTGAATTCTCTGTAATCCCAACCAGTTGTTTCCTGTGAATGTTGAATTTTCTGAAACTTAATCACAAGAATCTAGTTGGAACAGTGCAGCATGAAGGTAGAAGTGTGGAGAAGTGTAAATCGGCTTCAGGATTAGGTTATTTGACATTTTTTGATGGTATTGTGAATCATGAGATCTACTTAAGTATTTTAAAGAACAATTTGAAATTATCTGCCAAAAATTTGGATACTGGAGGTGATTTCATTTTTTAACAAGATAATGACGCCAAACATACTACTCTTAATTTACTATAAGTGTCGCTATTCTATAACTGTCACCAAATTCTAAAAACACCTCTTAAAGCACCTCTTAAATCCCGTGGAACACATTTGATTTTAAAAATTGATTATGTTATTCGAATAAGAACAGGGTTTAGATGTTATAAAAAAATTGCAATTCCGATATATTAATTTCTCTTCGTCGAAAACATTTAATTTTTTAGAAAATTGTAAGTGTACGAACACTTCTGTTGCCCAATGTTATTTCTTTGCACGCAGTGCAAAAATAAAACAAAAATGACAAATAAATAAATACAGTTTTTAAAAGTGGAAAAGTTATTTTCCCCCCTTTTCTTTTGTTTTGATTATTTAAAAGCAGGTGCTTTCAAAAAGAACTCTGAAGAGATGTAATAAATTTGATAAGGTTTTGAGAACCGTCATACTGCTTATTATAAATATGATCTTAATGATATAACAAATAATATACTTAAACTCAAACTAACAAACTCAATCTGGAATAAGCTCTAATTATCTTGATGTACGATACTTAGAATTAATTGTTGATTTGAAAAATAAAGCGTAACATTCTTAAAATAAAATCGAAATTACTTTGTTTTGAGATTATAATTTTTTTTTAATTATTGGATAAAGAGGAAAAAAAGAAGGTTATGCATATTGAAGTTTTATAAAAAAAACTAATACTATTTCCATAAAAATATATACGAATCCTTAGTTAGTTATTAATAAAAAATATTTAATTTTTAGATGGACACATTTTAAAAGCACTATACATAACTTTTTGAGTTGAAAATTGTTTCACTGTCTCTGATGGAAACTAAAATTACTCCACCAAGAAAAATCAAGGTTAACTTTTACTTATTTTCTTTCTACATGCTTCATTTCTCCCTTTTCCACTACCTTCTGCCTTTTTTAAAAATTATTTCAGTGCAAGTGATTTAAAAAGGATATTCTTAAAATACTTAATTTTTATCAGAAAAAATGTCTAAAAATTGAAAAAAAAAAGAATTGAATTGGAAATTTTTATTTTATTTATTCAATTAAAAATCAAGTACATTCAAACTTGTTTTGTGCGAGGATAAGAACCGCATAAAAAACGCAAAAAAAAATTTTGAAATTTTATAAGCTACTATAAAATATATTATTTGCATATTAGTAGCTATAAACTTTTCATTAAAAAAGCTTTTTGTGGCAAATAGAGACTGCATAAAAAAAAGGTCCTACCGAGGAAATACCTAGTTTTGCCATAAGTTTTGACACAATTGTAAAGGAGTTAAAGTAAAAAAAAACTTTGTAATCAGATTTAAAATTAAATCTTAAAGTTTTGTTTTAACTTTAAATTTAAATCTTATTGCTCCTTTTGTTCAAAATGATCTCATATTGGGTTAAAATAGGTTTTAAGTTTCTGTCGCCAATTATCTATCGAGGTATCCTCTCAAGAAATTTCCTCCTTTCTTTTTTTAAAGAACGTTTTAGGTTGTTCTAATTGAAATGCCTTTTTTGGCACACATTTTCATCCAATGCTGACTACAATTTGTAGTGGAGTGTGTTTCAGTGGCACACGTAGGTATTTTTTGAGTATGAGCGACTTTTTTTGTTTTCTCTACTAAAATTTTTAATGAATAGAATGCTTTTGTAGCACTTACGTTTCAGGCTTAGTTTCAAAAATTATATATTTCATTTGCTTGTTTACCTCTTATAGTGGATTCACCTAATACAAATTCCTTATCAAAGGCTGTAGCTAAGCGATTCTTAAACTGCGGTCCGTGAACCCTCGAGAGTTCCCAGTCTTTTTCTAAGGGTCCGCGAAAGTCTCTCATTTAATATTAAGATTTCCTTGTTTTACAAACTGAAAGGCCTCATAGAAAAGTTGAAAGATGTGCCATCATAGACAAGATCACTAAACTGCTCCCAATGAAGAAACTCTAATGTAACATGTACTTCGATCATTAATTTTAAGTCAGGGAGGGGTGCTCAAACTCTTGGGGGTCCGTAATGTCGGGATGATACATAAAGGGGGACCACGGCGGTCGAAAGTTTAAGAACCACACACGGCTATAATCTACAGTGTATAAATTAGAAGTACTCAACCTTTTTTCCAACCGGGCTGCATACATATGGCAAATATTTCACGAGGGCCGCAACGTGAGAATTAATGGAAAAAGGATTACAAGACCAAGGCAATAATGGACACTTAAAATATGGAAAATTGATCAAAGTATTAAAACTTATTTTTTATTTTAATACTATATGCACATAATTTTTTTTCCGGTTTTATGCATTTTTTCCTGAGTTACGGGGTAGTTTCGGTTTTCTTTCATCCATGATCAAACTCCTAGTTTACATTCTACTGTCATAGAAACATAGCTGCATTGCCGTTTGATAATTTGTTTTTTTTTCTTCTTCGTTTGACTAAGTCTGTCTCTTATTTCAAATATTAATTTATCAAGTGCAGAATGGCAGCAAAGAGGAGTTTTCACTGAACTCCAGACTGCAATCATTGTGATTTGTTTATAATTAAAACTCAAGTTTTCCCCATAAAATAGCCCATACTCAGTTTAGTTCACTATTTCACTGTTTTTTGGTATTAACAACCGTTACAATTGCAAAAGGGGCGAAAATCTTGTAATTCGTACCCGTGCGACATCGACAACAAAATTGGTACATCTGATTGCTTGATTGATTGAGTTTCTCGCTACATTTTTGATGCAATGTTCTTAAATAATTTAATTTTTTTTAGTGCAATGGGCCATGAGAGGGTCCCTCAGAAATGCCCGGCGGGCCGCAGGTCGAGTATCGCAGGTGTAGGTCATTCACCTTCTACAATTCGATCTAAAACGGCGATTTTAGTTTCAAGGAGAGTGATTTTTCATTTTTTCTCTATTATTAATTTTCAGGGATCATGTCAAAGCAAAATGTACTTAAAATTATGTCCAAATAAAGAGGATGGTAAATTTAACTTTAATTCCTTTTAAAATTAAATTTCTCTTATAATTCAAGAGTTAATGTAAGTTAATCACACGACGGTTATCAATTAATATTATTAGATGATGCGATATGCACACATGTAATGAAATTGGTGATTCAATTTCAATATATTTTCGTTAATGGGATGATGTAACATTGGAGGGTTGATTGATTTCAATTTATAGCTCTGATTACGTTTGGGATATGGACTGTACAAAATATAGGTAACAATTTGTGAGTCATCTATTGTGTGAATTCTTTTTCAATTTCTACCATTAGTTCACTCTATCCCTATATATATCTGGTTAAAATTTTCAATCGTTTATAATATGCTTTCTATTCATTCATTCAAGTTCAAATACACTTTTTAAACTTGTAGTGGATGACATTTGATGTTAATACAGTTTTTTAAAATATTAATTCATCTGTGGCGGGTCTATCCGCTTTCTTTCAAATACTAATCCTCTTTGAAACTATTATTTATTGTATTCTAAGCCTCCCGCTTAAGAAGAAGATGTGAGTATGCAAATTAAGACTTGTATATCAAGATTAAACTTTCAAATTAGGGGAGAGAGAGGTTAGACTGCTAACGGATAGCAGTGATCAATTAAATGTGAAATGAGGCGTGAATACTTGAAGCTGATTTGTGTAATATTAAAGATTGACGATTTGTCAACTAGTAATTAAGTTAGATTAGGTCGCTTGGAATTAAAAGATATATTGCTTGCACGTAAGTGATCCAATTTATCAAGTCTTCTCGTATCTCGTCTACCTCACTGTTGTTTTCCATATTTAATATTTGGGTGCATCTCTTAACTTGGTTAATAGAATTTGTGTTGTTCATAACTGAGAATATATAGAAGTGGTTTTGAATATGGCTAATCTTCCTTCCGACTCTCCCACACTAATGGATGTTGTGGGGCGACCATTACACATTAATTAAATTGATAAATGAATTTATTGTCTCAAACAAAAATAATAGTTCAACAGCATATATAAGAAGGAAAATTGTTTGTTGTGTCCCTGTAGCGCAATAGATGGCGCGTTGGACTTAAACTATTAGTTCACTCTCTCCCTATATATATATATATATATATATATATATATATATATAAATTTTCAACTGTTAATTAATTACTTTCTATTCATCCATTATAGTTCAAATACATTTTTTTAAAATTTGTACTGGATAACACTTGATGTTAATAGAGTTTTTTCAAATATTAATTCATTAATTAAATTAAAAAATTAATTAATAGATAGTATAAAACAAAAATAATAGTCCAACAGTATGTATAGAAAGAAAAATTGTACGTTGTGTCCCTTGTAGCGCAATAGATAGCTCGTTGGACTTTTAATCCAAAGGATGTGGGTTCAAATCCCACCTGGGATGGCCTAATTCTGAGAATGCGATTTCCTTTCTACGATACTATTTTATTAGAATAATTAAATTTAATGAATGTATAAATAGAAAAAAGCAAAGAAAAAAATTCCAACACAGTATATAGAAAGGAAAATCGCTTTCTATTTTGTCACTTAATATTGTGCTTCTGTCATATGTGTAAACATGTTTACATTAATTTCAACTTTAAAAAAATAACCAAACTAAAATTTTTCTTTGTTGACCTAAGTAGGAAAATTGACTAAATTTTTTTATATTACTTGTTAATTTGCTAGTTATTTTGACACACATTCATCTGTTGATTTCTTTTTATATTTCTTTTTTGATTAATACCTTTATTCATAATTTGCATTTGACGGACTTTGTCTTATATATCGCATAAATTTAGTTCATGAAAAAAGGTTTGAGAGTACTTCAAAATAATATAACCAATTACTTTCAGTAGATTAATTACTTTTAAAAACACATTTAAGAATTTATTATTCATTTTAAATTAAAAAAAATAGGTGTTCACATCAAAGTATTCAATTATCATTAAAATACCTTAATTAACATTCTACTCTCTGTTGTTATATTTCTTTTTATCTAAAAAAAAATTCCAATGCGGAAAAATTAAGATAATAAATGCTTTAAGAGCAATAAAGATTTAAAAACAATTTACAGAAAATATTCTTTTTACGAAATTTAATTGTAATTTCATTTTTGCTAAAACAATAAGCGGAAGTACGAAAAGATAGAAATCCATTTTGTGTGCATTTGTTCATTGTGATTTCTTTTAATATCTACAAAGCACACAAACTAGCATTCAGTTACTTTAAAGTATCCGACTACGTTCGGAACCGTGATTTTGCAAAAGCGGATAAATGGATAATATTTATGATATTTAGTGTCTCTTAGATTAGAAAATGTATATAAAATTATTTAAAAATTGAATTACATCAAAAAATCATTTAAGTACAATATTTTGACAAAAAATGAACATAGAATGTCCCATTTTCAGAATATTCTCCTTTTGTGAAAAATGCTTCTATTATAATAATGTTTTGCGTGTATATAGCTCAGATGTTCAACTAGAATTTTTGAAATATATAACTTAGAAGTGAGTCTATCCACGTTTTACGAAAACAGAGGGGAGAAATTTTAAGAAAAAAACGCCGATAATTATTTCAAATGGTTGTAACTCTGAAAGTAATGTGAATTTTTCAAAAATCATAGTTGAGCCTCTGTTCATAGGTCTGAGCTACATACAGGCAAAATATTATTATAATAGAAGCATTTTTCACGAAAGGAGAACATTTTGAAAAAAGATTATTCTAAGTTAATTTTTTGCCGAAATATTGTATTTAAATAACTGTTTTTGTCCAAATGTCCTTAAAACAATTTTATACGTGTATTCTAATCTAAGTGACACTAAATATCATGAAAATTATCCATTTATGCGCTTTTTTTAAATCACTATTCTGAAGGTAATCGGATACCTTAAATGGCAACAATTCATCACTACCACGCGCATTATAATAAGAATGTGAGTAAATTAGGTGAAAACAATGGTTTTAATACCAAAACTTCACATAATCTTTCCTAAAATGTGGGTTAGAGATACAATTTTCACTCGAGCGGAGAAAAAGATCTCATCGTTTACTTAGAGACACTCCAACACACTTACTTCTCTAGTGTAAAGCTTCCCCCTCAAATCATATTTACTGATTAAACATTGCCTCAGAGAATGTGTCACTGAGTTTCGAAATAAAATCAAACAGAGAAAAATCTTAATCAGATTTCCGAATTCGGAAGGCTTTTCGAGGTAAGTCTTTCCTTGTAAAATCGGAAATGATGATAAATAAAAAAAGGAAAAGAAAAAAAGAAGGTGCACCATTTTAAGAGATGGATACTGTGTGGATAAAAAAGGAATTATCACAGAATAAGTAGAAGCCTTATCACAAAATAATAGAACAGGATGCGTAAGCTGTGAAAATAAAAGTTCAAAATTCATTAAAATAAAAATGTGTTTTAAACCTATCTATATCAATATACACCAGTGATTTACTAAAGAGGTCTATATAGACCCCCAGGGGTCTATGACGACTTGCAAGAGGTCCACGTCAGTGAAAATATATTTTAGGGGTCCGTGAGATGTAAATGGGGGTCCGCGATAGAGGCTCTCTCAACCACATCAGGGCTTGATTTTAAAAGAAAATGTAATCAAGGGGAAACCACAGACAAACACAGATTTTATTTATTTAACAGATTTATTTACTAAATTTAATGAAGTTAATTTGCACAGTTAGAAGGTGACAGCAGTAGCGCACATAGGAATTTTTCAAGGGGGGGGGGGTTCACCATTCTAGTATCATACTCCTTTTGATTTTGTCAATTTTCGGGAACAAAACACAGAAAAAATTAATTTTTGAATAAATAATTAGCATTAATTAATAAAATTAATCTTTAATAACAAGTAATTAATTAAATTTTATGTACTATATATTCAGAATTATAATCAATCGGAAGAAAAATCAAGGGCTTTAGGGGGTCCGGATCCCCAGGACCTCCTCCCCTTGTGTGCGCCACTGGGTGACAGGATATGTTTTATCAAAACAAGGACCTCATTTCAGCGTTTCTTGTCAGCATTAAGCTAAAGGAGTATAATATTGGACAGCGCGAATTTTCCCAGCTTCTTCTTTTGTCGCAGACAATCTGCCAGGATAAGGTATTTTGAACTTACGTTCATTTAAATGCCCTTTATTCAGATTTTGTATCTAGATTTGGAATGCTTTCACTATGGTATATGAAAAAAAAAGACTGAACACTATCTATACTAACCGAAGAAATTTAAAGTTATCGACAAGATTTATGCCAAATGTTGAAAATTTGTTATTGCAGCGCCAGATTCATTCCTCTATTAAAAAAGCACATTTTTATTTTTTGCTCAAATATTTTATGTATAATTAAATTGAAATTTAAAATTAACTAGCATGTTTTTCTTAAGTTTGAAACATTATACTTCACTACAGTTAAAAATTTTAATTTTTGAAAGTAAGTGCAATAATATCCCGCTTAGCGCTGTACGCTGCCTGCAATTTCGGGGAATCCCACAATTCAAGTAAAAGAGCGCTAAACCGAAACAGAGCGAGAGAGCGCGCGTTAAACAAAACAGCGTTAAGCGGGGTCTTACTGTAGCTCTGTAACAGCTGCCTAAAAGTTGATCAATGTGCAAAAAATTAATATTAGGTAAGCAGGACCCAAAGACGGAAAACATGCCATGGGGTCTATGAATCAGAAAAGTTTGAGAACCTCTGATACACACTCTGTCACAAAAAAAATATATGCACCTAGAAGGAAACGAGCTACTATTACGAAACTTATCATGTATGTAGTATAAGAAGAGATAATCAAATGATTACTAATTCAGAAGAATGGATTGTTTTATTAAGAAGATATGGTATATACAAAAAAGCTTACAAATCAGTAGGTAATAAATTCACCTCAGACAAGCATGGAATCGAATGAATGAGGTCACCTATGACTTCTTGCGGAAAATCATGCCCTAATCTTTGTAACTGGGCAGTTAATTCACAGCTAATCCGGGACGATTGCTGTTGCCTTCGAGGTATGTCCCAGACGTGCTCTTTTAACGAAGCTCCGGTGACCTGGAAGGCCAAGGGAGTGCGTAAAATCGTTGAAGGCATTGTTGGGAGAGCCGCGCAGTATGTAGACGAGGGTTGTTTTGCTGATACTTATGCTCATTACTTACTTCAGTTCATTGTGCAATAGTATATTAATGTGTTCTTTTTACATGTCTCATGTTATTCGGCCAGTATAATTTTTGGCGATAACAAATTATATTTGAACAAATGAAAACAAATGCTTCATAAAACTGCACATTAATACTATATATAATTGAATTGACATATTGATTCAAAAAACTACACATTGTTATGATTTTTCTTGATTTTTATTTTACATCTAAAAAAACTGAAATTACATACTACTATTTACTTTTAGAAGCCTTATAGTCTTGTAAGGGTTAAAATTAAGTAAGTGCAATGCTTTGTTTAATGTCCGAGCAACAGGTTTGTTTAACAAAATAATCAAAAAAGAAACATTTCGTATGCTTTTTGACTTTTATTATAAAAAATATTAAAATAATAATACAAGAGTTAACAGTAATTCAAGAACAACTATCCGATGTACTCAAAAGCTTGATTAAATTCTGTATAGCTAAATGCTCACCTTTCGAAATAATAAACTTCATTTTGTATTCCTTTCACTTCAGGTGTCACAGGCAAACCTAAATGTCGGAAAAAAGAAAAGGCTTCATTATTATTCTCAAGATTTAAAAAGGAATGATGTACAAAAAATAATAATTCCATTACATTAAATTAGTAAATTACTAAAAATGTAGTTCTAAGATTAATTTGATTGAAATTTGGACTTATCGAGTGATCCAGGATTTTTCCAAAAGTGACAACTTAAAATTTCACCGTTAATATTTCAGTATATTCTTAAATGTATTTTCAAAATTACTTAAACAAAAAATTATTCCTTAATTTAACTAAATTTAAATTTTTTTAAATTTTTATTTTTAATTATATATATATATGTTAAAGAATCAAAATATTTATACAAATAAAATTGTATTGATTCTATATTCTATAAAGTTGTTGAAGCCCTTATTAAATAATTTTGAAAAATGCATTTTCAAGAGATAGTGCCTTAATAAATGTTAATGAAAATTTATATTAAAAACATTCGTGGTTGTTTTTGTACAATTTCTAACAACAAATATTTTATGAAAATTATTCAGTTGCGTTTTTACCACTAAGTTTGCGACGGATCTTTACGCGACCTTTACACTAATCCTCTTGGGGAATCTTTGGGCTAGCATTCGCGTTTAATTCACAGCCATCCCTCTCAAGAAGAAACCGTAATATTCAGATTAGTTCGACTATATAAATTCACAGTTTTGTAATTATAGAAAAGGAGGTAGGAAG